CCCCACCACAACCACATGCCTCCTCCGAGGCTTAGCAGCGACTGTTCTCTGTGGTCATAGACCTTGTGGTCTATGAGTGAGTGGCTGCAGTACAGGCATTTAACCACTCCACCACCAGGGCTGAAGAGTCGTCTTCTGGATAGGCTTTCTGATCACGGTTAAGGTGTTCCTATGGACAAAGGTTATGCCGCCCCCCCTGCCCACTTTCCCTCACCTGCTCACTAACTGAGTACCCAGCTGGAAGAGCCTGCACACATATTGCAGAGCTGGCATCCCCCAGCCACATCTCAGTAAAGCATGCCAGGTCGGCTGCCTCATCCACTAGAAGATCGTGGATGATATGGGTCTTATTTTTGACCGACCTGGCATTACAAAGGAGAAGGCTGAGGGTCAGTGGAATGGTTGGCACGCTCTCCAAGTTATCCTGGGAAACAGAGCAAACTGAAGGAGGGATAGGTTTTAAATATCTATCCCTCCTTCTTTTGTAACATTTGTTAACTCTGTTACAGCCATACCTTCCCTGCCCCCACACAACCTGATGTTAAAGTGGATTCAATCATCATAGTGTTATGCTTGTATAATGGGGAAGGGCTCCTGGATTACTCTGTAGCATTCTGTGAAAATAGAATGGATTTTATCAGTTGGCAGCTTCTGTGACACACTGTGAATTCTTTTCATCTCCTGGTACAGAATGGCAAATATGTATGAATGGCTTCATGAAAATGAACCAAAATCTGGAAACTCATCAGTGTATCCATATCTGTAATCTCATTGGTGGAATTCCATACTTCTATTCAGTGTAATTTTACTTAGTAAGAAATGAGCAATTGAATCAAATGAATGGCAAATTACAAATGGAATATCAAAAGTGAAGCCATCTGCATATGTGTGCCTTGACCATGGTGTTCATTTTATGACAATTGACACTGAATAGAATAAACTTAATTCTGTTCAATTCTTAATTCATTATGAAATGAATACTCACCTCTATTAGTAATATGGTTGAGACATGAATATGATATACGAAACATGCAGCAGCTCCACCTTCCTTCTCTTTCTGTCAAAATGCTTGGCTTGGCATGACTAGGCCATATACTGTCTTGTAGAAAAGGGGCATCTGTGGATTTGTTTGTTGTTCTGTGCCTTCAAGCCATTTCTGAGTTATGGGGTTTTCTTGACAAGTTTCTTCAGAGGGGGTTTGTTATTGTCATTCTCTGAGGCTGAGAGAGTGCAACTTGCCCAAGATCACCCAGTCGTTTTCCATGGCCAAGCTGGGATTCGATCCCTGGTCTTCAGAGTCATAGTCCAATGCTTAAACCATTACACCACACTTGCTCACATCTGTGGATACTATTACTCAATAGTCAAGCAAGAATAGAAACCAAACAATATAGTTACAAAAATATGATCCTCAGTCCCTGAATGTATTTGCATTTCTATCAGGCTGAGAGACAGGAATCCCTAAAATCACACACAGGATGCCAACACAGCAATTTGGATTCTGGCTGCAGGTTATCATTTTTCTTATGCTGAAGTTGTTTTTGTGCTTGGAACATTTAGATATTGAGGGTTTGATCTTACTAACTTAATGTTTCCCATGCATACACTTCAGAGTACTGGCTAGTTCTGGAGCGCAGGCTACATCTACATATCTTAATAATTTCCTTCCAGATAGATTACCAGAAGGGATTCAGGACTGTTTCAAGACATTAATCTTTTGTTTCCATTTCACATCTGAAATTTGAAAAGGTCACTGATTCATCCTTTGAACCATCCCAGATTTTCCTAAATAACCCATTTTACAATGTTCCATGACTATTTTATTACTTATTGTTTTGTTTTATGTGTGGGAATCAATGAATTTTACGGGGGAGGGGGAGGAAGTCTCTCACCATATTTAGCTTTAGGGAAATTCATAAAATGTGTTGGAAAATATTAAATTAGAAAGGGATGGCAGTCCAGAAATGTTTAATGCTTAGGAAGAAAAGGCAATTTTTTGAGCTAGTTCCCCTGCCCCCCCATTTTAAATATGAAAGCTTAAAGTTTTGTTTGGATAGATGGCAAGAGAATATCTATACCACATAATAACAGCTAGAAGAGTGGAAGATTATCATTAACTTGCTTAGAGATCTCCTTCTTTCCTCTCTTCTATCAAGTTCTTCATGTCTGTGTAGTGAGAGCACTAGTTTCAGTAATACCATCTGTGCACCGTCAGCCAGCAGTGACACATAGACAAGTGTTCTTTGAAGATGCTGTTCCACAGCTTAAGAACACATTCTCCCAAAGACTCACCAATGGAATACTTTTCTAGTCTTGCAATATCATGGTAATCCTGTTTCTCTTTCTTATAAATATCTGGTTTTATTGAAATAATTTCAGATTTCAGTGACCTTGTTGTGTTCCAGATTGCCCCCCCTCCCCGGGTTACAAGGGATGTGTCAATCTCAAAATTAATACCTACATTACAGGAGGGAAACATGTTTATATATGAGAATATGTGAACATCAAAAATTGTAAACCTCATTTAGAATGTTCTGGTCATCACAATTCAAAAAAGATGTTGATAAGCTGGATTGTGTCCAGAGGAGAATGACTAAAATGGTGAAAGGTCTGGAAAGTATGCCCTATGGGCTTAGGGAGCTGAGTATGTTTAGCTTGGAGAAAAGAAGGTTAAGGGGTGACATGATAGTCGTGTTTAAATATTTGAAGGGATGCCATATTGCGGCTGGAGCAAGCTTGTTTTCTGCTGCTCCAGAGACTAGGACACAGAAAACTACAGGAAAAGAAATTCCACCTAAACACTAGGAACAACTTCCTGAAGGTAAGAGCTGTTTGACAGTGGAACACACTCCCTTGGAGTCTCCTCCTTTGGAGGTTTTTAAACAGAAGCTGGATAGTCATCTGTTGGGAGTGCTTTGATTATGTCTTCTTGCATGGCAGGATTGGATGGTCCTTGTGGTCTTTTCCAGCTCTATAAATTTTCTTGTCCGTGAGAAGTTCACTCATGAAAATTTTGGCATAAGCACAACACTAGCTTCTTGTCTGTGCTTCCAAGAGCTGATATGCAGATGCATATTGTCTCTGAAATTTCAAAAGTATATATGCCTCATTACTGGAAACTATTGATAGATCCATCCTTCAAGAATTTGTCCAAATCCCTTTTAAAAAACATTCTGTTATTTTGTCATTTTCTGTCTTAGGGCCTAAGCAGACTGCCAGAAATAGTGCACATTAAATTGAGGCACTGCCCTGGCTCAGTGCTAGGGAATCATGGGAATTATATTTTTTTTCTGAGGCATTGAACCTTCTCTGTCAGAGAGCTCTGGTGCCACAATAAATTACAGTTCCCATGATTCCCTAGCACTGAGCCAGGGCGGTGCCTAGTTCACCATAATTTTGACCATATCATCCACTTGATAACATTGTGCAACTATACATTGGAAGTCTATTCTAACTACCATGTTATGTTGAAAACCCATTGACTGCTCTGCATGTTTGCATGCCATCTAACTTCCAATCATCTGTTGAATTTGACTGTTACAGATGGGGAAAGATTCAATTTTCATTTGATTATGATGAACTGCCAACATTCTGAGCTTGGCTCAGTGATTATGCTGACCAGGGGATACTGGGAGTTGCAGCACAAAAAGGGAACTTTATTGAACTCTGTCAATATTTTCAGCTTTCTTCAGGACTTGGGGCACAGCACTATGAAGCCCAAGTAGTACTTTGACACATACATATGCAAATGTGAATGTAACAGAAGAATTAACTTGTGTAAGCAATAGAGTTCCTATAGGGATGAGGTACCATATATACTCAACTATAAGTCGACCTCATGTATAAGTCAGTGGCAGGTTTTGGGGCCAAAATTATGGACAAGTTGAAGGTAAAATTTAGGGGCATATAATAAAGATTATAAAGGGTGAAGCTAAGGAAAACAATGCCAAAGAATTTATAAATGTTCAGCAGACATAAGTGTTTGTGCTCGCCCCAAAGCCTGGATGGATGAGGAGGAAACTGTCACCATTTTCCTGCCAGAAGAAAAGGCAGAGGAGGTGCTGCAGCAGAAAAAGTAGAGGAGGTCAGTGCTACTTATAAGGTCTCATGAGACAGACTTTGTGCCACTCTACTCAGAGAAGGAGATGGTTCAATGTAAATACAGAACTTACATTGACCCGTGGATAAGCCAACCCAGGTTTTTTGGGTCAATTTTTTGACTAACATTTGTAGACTTATGCATGAGTGTATACAGTAAGTCCTTCCCACCTTGCTTAAATTTATGATTTTGGAAGGTGATTTGACTTTCCTGGAAGACAAATCTGACTAGTAACAATACTCCCTGTGTCATCCTGGGATCACATATAGCACTTTGTATATAGTTTGAGAGTTTATTATATTATAGTTTAGTGGGATTTTTGCCTCTAAAACTTTTAATCCAACTTTTAATTAATTTCAGTAGTAGCCACTTTTGTTTTCATCCAGTAATTATATCTTCTAATATTCTGGAGAGCAGACCCATTAAAGAATTCTGATTTTACAGGCTAAATAAAACAAGTATGTAAGACAAAAGGTTTTCTAGAAATTCCTCTACCCTGGAGGTACGTGAGCCAATTATCTTTATTTATTTTCTGGTCACAAGAATGCTGTAAACTTTGCATGTGATATAAAACATTAAAGTGGGCCCTGCTTGACTACTAATGCCCATTAATTCTTTACTAATGCAATGTTTCCTCTCCTCTCTCTTGGTTTTATTATAATGGAAAGTGATTATATATTTTTTAAAAAATAACAAAGAAACAACGTAACAACTGTAAATCACAACCCGTTTATGGTTCTGCAGTGACCCTTTTGATTTATTAACATTCTGCTTTTTGTCTGTTCACTTTATGAAAGAGGGGCAAATGAATGATGAAAGAAAAAGCAAGTGGTAAGCAGAAAAAGAATATGGCACGGGAAAGCAGGATAAACAAAAATCACTATCATTATCACCACCACCACCACCAGCCTCACAATCATTGTCATTCTCACCACCACTTCCTTCACCAGCAGTGGTCCATTTCTTCAGTCAAGAGAGAAGAAAGTCTCTTCCAACAAAGTTGTTTAGGTTGAAGAGGAACAGACACTATAATGACAAAGCTATTTAGCGTAACTTCATTTCTCTGTGAAATGTGTATGGACAGTGACAGAAGCATGTGTTAAAAATCAGGATGGAAAAACAGGTTGAACCCTTACATGAACCTATCACAGGGCACACTAAGCCCTGCACCTATTCACCTGTGTTAATTTTGGATACCAACTTCTTTTACCATAAATTAATTCCAGCTAATATATGATACCATCACAGTGTTCTCCCCCCCATTTTATCACACAGCATCTATTGAATCTGTACAGGAGAAGGGTCACAACAGTTGTACACAGTCCAAGAATAAATATATGCATGTGTGCACACATAAACAGAGACACATACATTTATGTATTATATATTCTATTGCATTCTTTTTTAAAAAATAAGTCATCTTAATTTTTTTTTTTAAAGTGAAGTAGTATGCAGTAGAAATAATGCAGTTTCACACCACTTTAACTACCATGCCACAGTGCTATGGAATTCTGAGATTTGTAAATTTGTGAAATATTTAGCCTTCTCTCTCAGAGACCACTGGTGCCACAACAAACTACAAATCCCAAGATTTCATAGTATTGAGCCATGGAAGTTAAAAGCAGTTACAAACTGCATTATTTCTGCAGTGCAGATGCAGCCCAATGGTTCCATGTCCATAGTGTGTCTAAGTAGGGATGAGACTTCCTGTAGAGCACATGTGGTCCTTTGGAAGTCCAGTGTGGCTCTCTAGACACCCAAGTCCCTTGCACACACACACACACACACCCCTCCCACATTGGATGGAATACCTTAAAGTTTCAGTAGAAAAAAATCACTTGGGCCTGAAACACACAGGCAAAATAAAGTGGCTTATGGCTGCTGTGGGGGCATGACATTCAAATTATGCACACCCCCAAAGTGGCTGGACAGGTGCTAGACTGGATCCAAAAGGAGCTGGAATAATCTGGCTCGTGGTGGCAGATGGCTTGGGATTGCAGTGGTGGCCTGCCTTCGGAGCAGGCTGTATGGTCCCAGTGTGATTGTGGCCGGAGCAGCTAGAGGGCATTCTTTCTTGGCTGTGTGCTTGGCCTCTTGAATAATCTAAATTACTCAAATATGCTGCTTTGGTGGTGGCAAATTAGGGGAGATTTCCTCCTTTGAGGAACCAGCCAGAAGGTGCAGTGAGCCAATTTCACTTCAAGTCACCAAAATGGCAGCCAGAATGGCACAGCTTTG